ATCTGAAAGCCTAAAAGGCACTGAATTGTTAAATGTCTACATAAAATAATGTCTTACATTTCCGACTTCAGGTCCATGTAAAGAATGTTTTAGAACGTGCATATATAATAGAATAATCGAAACTTTTTTTCAATGGCCTTCAAAAGAGTTTAAGTATTTTCTTTGTGTAAAGCACACGTAAAACACATATAGTTCTCGATTACCTTTTCATAATAATAATAAAGCGATATTCGTAATTAACTTATATGTGATAGCAAAACGATAGAAAAGGAAGGGGAGTGGCTAGCTCTCCATGGAAAAGAAAACTTACTTATGTCTGATCATAATTACATAACAGTTGTTCCTTTTATGTGTTATTACATTTATCTTTTGCTCAAGTAATATACAATACCTGATTTATTTTTAGTCACATTTGTTGTGTGAGTTTTAAATAACAACGTAAATTTACATATTTATCATTGTTATTCAAATTTTTGTTCGAAAATAATAAATTTAAACATGAAAAGTTGAGAATTATATATACATAGAATAGAAAATTATATCAAATAATAGTTTGAGTACATAGTTACTGTTCTGTGTTCACAATACTTTTAAACATGCATTAATGTAGAAATTATTGCAATTACATAGTGTAGAAATAAAATACAATGGCGACAAAAGTAAGGGTAAGAGGACGTGAAGAACCTGCGATCCTTTACGACTACCACGAACAAAATTGGGTGTGGTTAGAGCACGTCAATCTTTCTAAGCCACGACTACTAAGAGCATGCTTCCCCCCCTTTTTTGGCTTCACTTTGACAGAGTGGCGGGCATCTCCATAAGTTCTAACCTCCTTGGCTAAATCATACATCATTATGTTTCGTTTTCAAAGATCGATACTCAAGAACAAATAAATCAAAATTCTTACCTTTCAAAAGGTAATTACTCTTTTCGCGGGTTTCAGACGCCGAAATAATGGTGGTGTCCCATGAGTCATAATTTCAAGTTGTTTCGTTTTCAGGTTGGGAGAGCATTAGCATAACAATCGAAACTTCAAGATTTCACGGAACACAGAAATAACATTTATTAACGATAAAACTTGGTGATATAGTACATTACTTCCGCCTATAGCGGCCATGAAAACATAATCAAGCATCAAAAAAGGTATGACATGCGTCATTCTTTCGGTTCAAGCGTCAAGTAGAATATTTTTCATCGGCGCGCAGCAAGAGCGTCACCTATCTACCGAAAGACAGAACACGGATACTTAGGTATTAGTGCGACCACCTTAGCATAGTTAAGCGGTTTTTTACAGAAGAAAAAGATGATTTCGGTGAATTTGTGGATTGTAACTTACAATGGATTGGTTACCTAAACTGTCAGACAGATGATTGCCAGAGTTTGGCGACTGTTACTAACGTGGTTGCGATATTATGTAATTACACCTTACACACAAAAAAGGGGACAGTTCTATATCTTTCGAAATGCGTTTTTCATGTATCGGAAGTGCGACATGATACATATGTTATGATATTTTTAAATCAATTGATTAAATTAAATTCTAATCATATTGCTTAATAATTTGTTGGCGATTCTCTACCTTAATTGCATCCCTGTTCCTAAATTTTAGCGAAATCCTTTCTTTATTATAAATTATATTAACTTGTTGGCGCCCGCCAAATCGCCAAACTCATAAATCTATCATATTACATAAAGTCCTTAAGAACACTACTGATGAGAAGATAGCGTCACCTCGTGATTTCAATTAATATCGCTGACTGGAAATTGGATGAGAAGCATGACGCACACATATCTATAAATATTGATTCTCCTCGAGGTACAGGAGGAATGCTTGTGAAATGGATGCTAAAATAAACGTATCAATTTATATTCCCAAATTTGTCTCATTCCTGTTGCTCCGGCTGCACAACACAAATAATGTACGAGATTCTACGTTTCATTTATATATAGCATTGTTCTAACATAGGAATTTGGACATAAAATAGGACTTTTCTGAAGGACATAACTATTATTTTCATATTTTGGTTCAACGTCTCAAATTATGCCTAAATATGAAATTTGAAAAATTTGATGAGAAATTTGTCAAGAAATATTAAATTTTGTTTTGGCGCACTTTTTTTCATTTTGCAAAAAGAATAATTCACTTGGCGGAATTCTTAATTTATGGCAACCTATTTCCATTCCCTTTTAGTATGCTCGAGCGGAATAAAAGGTGCGTCGTACACTCTTTCAAATAACTTTTTAAAAAGTGCTTAAACCATATTTGTCTTTTTATGTCTTATAAGAAAGGCAAATTTCTGGCAAATTTTATTTTCTGGCAAATTTCAAACGTGCCATTATGTAAATTCACGTATATTTTCGGAGATTTTGTATAAAAAATTCTAATTTTTCGCAAGTGAGCCTAGAAATACATCTACTTTTCGAAAATGGCAGACATTTTACAGGTTATAATTAAAAAAACCTATCCAAAAAAATTATAAAAATTACTCAAAAATACAAATTTTAAAAACAAATCGGAAATTAACTTTGAATTTCATTCGGGTTTAAAATAAATTTCGAACTGTGAAAGGAAGAATCTGCTAACTGTAATAAAAAAATCTGATGTGTATACACCACATGACTCCCTTGTACGGAACATTAAATTATATACATATTTTGCTACATTTCATTTAAACCTATTTCGCAGAATTTCATTAGAGATATATTTCTCAATCAATTAATTCAGTTCTCAATTTTCGACAAGGCAAAAATAATAACAACCTCAAAATATTTTTATTAATAATTCAAAAATATTAAAAGAAAAAATCTGAAAATTTTCACAATTTATATTATGCTCAAGGCGCTTTTTTAACGTTCTGCGTGTAATATTTATTTATTAAATATAATGTTCTTTGTACATAAACCATAAAATTCAATTCAAGAGCACTATAAAAATAATATTTTATCACACGAAAGAATAAACGTGATTCTCGCTTGAAGACCATGATATCCAAGATTTTCTTATTTTTATTTATATCACATCTCATACATAACATATTAGACTGAAATGTAATCCAAGTATAGTTAATTAATCAAGTAAAGCGAGAAATAAACTAACCTAGTAAGCAAAAAGTAACCGTTACATTCCGAATTCCAAACATTTGTTTACATAAGCATTTATCCCAAGGACAGGCGGGAAAAAGATATCAGACGAATGCAAACGCACGAGCGTCAGAGATCCATATGATCATTTCATTTTCAAAAATTTCAAAAGTTAATCAACTCAAAATGCCAAAACGAAATTAATAGCCATTCTGGCCAAATTGCCCCTTTGGGCTAATATAGAAACAAGCAATTCGGACAGCTGGCAAGAAGGCAGATTTTCGGTGAAAAAAACTAAAAGTTTACTTTTGTCCCCATTCGGCAAAAAGGTACTGAAGGTGCAGAATTGAAAACAAAGTGATTTAATTCATCATTCTGCTAAGATCAAATGTAAACAAATATGGCTGCTTTGTTAAGAAAAATTAGGCTTAGCCGCACTTAAACATCTTTTACATTGTTGATAATTCTACAGCTATTATATGCAGATTAACTAAAGGCATAAAAACTTTAACCGGAAGATAAGAAAAACATAATTCAATAATGTTTAAGCAAAATTTGCGCAATTTACCGATCTATAAGAAAAAAAAAAAAAAAAAAAAAAAAAAAAAAAAAAATGGAGCTCACTGAGCCAAGTAAATGAGTGGATGTATATATAGGGTGCGGCAGCGTTTATAGTAGGATATTAAAAGCACACCATAACGCAGTAACTGTAATTTATTTATTGCCTCTTATGTCAATTAATAGTTAAAAGTATGCCATTTACTTAATGTGTAAATCATTGTCCTTTGCGTTGGATTACTTTTTGAATATGATGCCAGTCAAATGATACCCCCCTTTGCACAACACATTTATCTAGGCGGCGTTGGAAGCTTGCGATAACTCGACGTAACGTATTCCTTGGGACATTACCGACGGCAGTTCAGATGCGATCCTTCAACTCGGGAATGGTGGCACAACGTGTTCGGAAAACTTCTTGCTTCAGGTAACCCCAAAGTCGGCACATGAAAGATCAGGTGAACGAGGCTGCCAAGAAATGTCACCAAAACGGGAAATTACTCTACCTGGAAGTGTATGTCGCAATGGTCCGTTCATCTGGAACTTTCCCATAACGTCCCAAGTTAAAATGTTGCCGAAATAGACGCTGGGTAGCAATAACAGAGTAGTTATTCTTGAAATAATTTTCAACAGCAAAGGCACGATGCTGTACACTCCAACGATCAATATCACTGTCACACTCGAAATGGCAGCTCATTAGTACACGAATGCGGCACGAGCTGGCGCGCATTCATGCAGTACGTCATTGTGCTACGCAAGACAAATTACGCTATGAACGTTGCCGCACCCTGTATATAATAAATAATTTTGGTCTGGCCGATTGCATCCAAAATGGAAGGTGCACAACTACATGGTATAGAAATCCTAGCTACACAATTTTAACGTTGGCTACTCGTTTTTGAGTTATGCGAGCTACGTATATACGTACTTACAAACGTACGTACAGACGTCAAAAAATACTCCCCCTTCCAAAGGGCGGCTGGGGATTAGGGTAACCAATCGTCAAATCCTGGTGGTGAAGATTCATCATTCACCATCTTTCACCTTATTTCGGTGTAAGGACAGATGAAATATGAGCAATGTCCTTGTCGGGGCTCGAACCACGAACCTTTCGATACGTGCTTAGTATGTTAACCATTTCACGACAAAGGCATGTAAAGAAGGCGAGAGAAACACCTTATAAACTCAGATTTTATTTCTTATGTTAAGGACTTGTGCCGAAAAAGAGCTTCTAAGAAAAACGAATTAATTTTAGATATACATATCTACTAGATTTACAGATTATATTCACCTTTCACGGTATATTAGTAAATGAAATATATGCAATTTTACTTGCATCTGAAATTCTTTCCTATTTATTTTTCAGACGCATGCGATGTTTACCCGTGCGTGCATGGGACATGCGTTAAAACTGCAAGAAAACGAGTTTTTTGCAAGTGAGCAATTTATATATTTTACATAATATTTTCTTTTTTTCATTTCCATAATCCAGAATTTCTTGTGTGTGAATGCGTTGTAAACCAAAACTGGTTAGTTTTCATATAAGACTTAGTTTACTTACCATTATTAAATGTTAAAAATGTAGTTAATGTTTGTATATCTGACTGGAGTACAGCATATAAAAGTTATCTAGCTAAGGGAAGGGAGTTTTAAAAGACACTTCATGTAGACGCTTTGTAATTTACGTTGCACTTATGGTTTCTTGACGCTGGCGAGGCAAATCCTTTGCCCTAATGAGATCTTTAAAGTTTCTTCATGTGTATATGTATGATTCATTAACAGGAACCTTTAAAAACACATTTTTTAACGAAAAATTAACATATACGGATTTAAAAATGTTTTTTTAATTAAAAACACAAACGATTGTCCTTGTACCACAAAGTGTAAAATGGGGCTTACAGAAGTAAATAAGAAACAAAATAAGGAAAATAAACTGTAAATTAAAAAATTTAAAAAACACTTATGAAAGATTAAAACAATTTACAATGAATTCACAAAAATAGTCAAAGGCACACCACAAAACGTCTCTGGATTCAACTTATATCTTCTCTGATAACATTTAAAATTTCCCTGGACAGTAAGGAATAGTGTCATTTTATATCTTGCAAAAAAATGGTAGCTTGTTAATCTTATTTTGATGTAAGAGAAAACTCTCTTAGTTATTAATTTATTATATTATTAATAAACCTTTATTTTAAATAATACACACTCCCTTTATTTCAAATAATACCCACTCCCTTTATTTGAAATAATGTCTTCATGATTCCACGAGTCCTTTTAATGGTTTAATTCATGACCTTCTTATAAAACGATTTTGGGATATTGACAAAAATGTCATTCTTGAGCTTGGTGCCAGTTTTTGCACGAAATTCTGACAATTCATTCCCAAGAAAACCCATAAGTTCACGAAAGAATTCAAAACCATTCGAAATGTTTTTATCTTTTAGGTTGAATAGTTTGGCTCAGCTAAATTTCACAGCAATTAGTTAATGTTCCTCAGTATACTGCCGTTAATAAAATAAAGTGGTTTAAGGTATACCCTAATTTTATAATAAAAGTTAAGTTGTAAGAACAAACGAAAAAAGACCAATTTTGGTCAAATTCTTTTGCGCATTGGGCTGCAAAATTAAGGAAATTAGGAGATAAATTTTAGTACGCACGCCAAAAAGTTACCAACAACTGTGGCTCCGTGAAAACTTCAACATAAGCATATTTAGTTGCTATGAAATGTGTGAAAGAGGAGAAAAATACAATATTTGAATATTTACAAGTAAAATGAATAACAAGTAAGCTATATGCTAAACGAATTAAGTAATTTTTAACACAGTAGAAAAACAAATCAATTGAACGAGGTAAAATAAAAATAGTAAGCTATATGCTAAACGAATAAAGTAGATTTTAAAACACAGTAAAATACTAATCAATTGATCAAGGTAAAATATAAAAAATATATTAAAATTAAGAAGCGGTAAATGGTTAATTAGCCCAATTCGAAGTTCATTTTGGCTTGTCAAGGGAAATTTTTAAAATGAATTTCGAACCAAGCTAACTGTTTGACGTGCGTACTAAAATTTATCTTCTAATTTTATAATAGTTATAGCTTAAAATTCCTTACGAAATTGAGTTTTTAGAATCACGTTAGATGCAAGTGAGAATTAGAAAGTATTTAAGTCAAAGTTCCACTGACTTCGAGAGAAAGAGAAAGAGTTAGGATTCCTGAATAGCACGCGTTTGCCTTTTGGCTACGTCTCTCTCACTGTTACTACGCTAGGCCGTATGACGTGCCTTTTGATAGCTTCGCTGGGTAATTTAACATGACGAGCCAACTAGTTTATAATTGTGTTAGCTACAGCTAAATCTCTTTAGTTAGTCATTAGTTAGCTATTACATTTTTATTTTAATCCCAAATGGAGGCTTTATTGTACGCCCTGAGAAAGGTACACCTTATTAATCTTTATTTGGAGCAAATAAAGAGTAATTAACCCTTCCTACGTTTACGTTTCTGTTCTTGCACTTTAGCGATTATTCGCTTAGCTGTTCACTAGGTTCCTCAACACTTAGTTTAATAGAATAAAAGGGAAGAACACTATAGTGTTATTAAATTTTCCCACGTTCTTATGCATGTGCAGGCGAGCTAACACTGTCTGTTATTACTTCGAAATCGCTACCTGTTGTTATTCGACAATGATGTCGCTTGCAAATGCTATTTTTAATATTATCTTCTCGGTTTCCTACTTAACGGAGTAATAAATCAGTCTTGATCCTCTTAGAGAATCTCAATTGAGTTGAAATGAAATTGAGTTGATTGAACAATTGAGTTGAATTAAACTCACTATACATTTCTTTGCAATCACAAAATAATAACTGCATTCTTTACGGTTTCAGGTGCGATGAGAATCACAAAGGTATTTCCTGCGATGTTCCAGTGGATAAAATTCCAGGTGAGTATGTCTAAGTGCTGATAAAAAATTTTCTTTTGTGTGTTATATGTGTGCACTGAATGAAAGAATGTCTTAACTTTTATTATAAAATTAGCGTACGACAGAGCGTTTTCCTAATTCCGTAAGAATAAATTCAGAATTTATAAATAATCAGAAAAACAAAATTTAAAAACATTTATGTCTTTATAGATCTAACAATCATTCGCTTAAGAAACATGCTTAATACAATAAGATTTCATTTTGGTTAAGAATAAACTTTATCTCCAAAGAAGAATGTAAGCAAGCAAAATGAAATGCAGAGAAAATGCAATAGTAAGTTGTGATAAAAACTTCTTTAATATGTTGTATTACTCTATTATTAGTGAAAGAGAAAAAAATCTAAATTTGTGACTCGCTGATAAGTATTCAACGTAAATCTGACAGAGAAATTTAAATGATATATAGTTGCTGCTTTTCATTAACAATGAATTATGGTACCTAGATAATGAATTATGAATATTAAATAATGTAATTCAAATTAAATTAGTAAAAACCAGCAGCAGAATAAATGAGGGCAGCAAAGCTCTCGAAAAGAGTCTAAACATTTACTTAATTAATCATACATAATTTTTTAGTTTAATAATGTTTGGTTTGCTTTACAATCATAAAATAGTGTCCAAACTCTTAGTAAACGTTTTGCGAATTATCGCTAATTCTAAAATAACAATTGAAACTTAAGAAATCTGTAAAAGACACTTTAATTTAAACTGAGATTAAAATAAAGTACAGCTGGTGCTTACAGCTCAGTCAACGCTTATGGCGAGATAATTTAAAGTGAATGTTAAATTTGAAATAAATAAGCTAAGAACGGAATGCTACACAGATCAAGTTGACGCGAAGTTGGCTCACAATCTAACCGACGTTGAGATTAAATTTCGGTGATCATAAATCAAGCCAAAAGTCTACAAATCTTATCTGAGCTATCAATCTTGTAACATGGCCTCGAGAGAAAGAATACGCTCTGTCTTATAATATAAAACCTCATCTTAAATACACGCGAGCAAATAATTTTTCTATCATGGAAATGGAAGGAAGAAATGACAGTAAAGTTCTAAACCTTAAAATATTCCATTGCATGTACTTGTGCAACTCACATTTTAGTTGCAACCGACCGCGCCAAAAGTATATAAATGTATCTATCTATCTATATCTCTGTCTATATATAAATATAAAGCATTTAAAGTTAAAAATAAATTGGACTCAAAGCAAGTCAATTCCTCAACCATATTAATAATTGCAACCCTGTATAAGAGGTGTAACACAATACGGAATTAAAATAGCAATTCATTGTAGAACAAACACGAAAAATATAAATGCACAAGGGAAACAAATATACAAGAGAATAAAATTATAAAAATTAATCTCGTTTTACTGAACTGCAATTCAGAACTCATCTGGGGAAAATGAATTAAAGTTTCATAAAAGACGATTAATATGTTTCGAAAACGTGTTTCGGTCCCCTTGTTCATCTGAGATAAAAAAAACGAAGAAAGAATCAATTAAATTTTCATTTAATGTATTAAAATTCATATATAACTGAAAAGTCGAATTGCAAATGTACCAGAATTTTCCCTACACGAATCCGAAACACTTGGGGAAAAGAATAAAACATAACATTGCACCAAACTGACTATTGCGCCACGTTTGAATTCTACAAGGAACACAATTTTGTCGCCTGAAAATTTCAGTCCATTTTCATTTAAAAGGTCGTCCTAAGATTTCAGTAAGTTTGCGTTTTTTTTTTTTTTTTTTTTTTTTTTTTTTTCATTTTTGCCTCTAATAGGTTTTCAGTTTTTAGCTGATTAAGGCTCAGATTTGATTTTATTATCTCTTTGAAAAATGTTCGTTTTCTTGGTATTAAAAATTGAGTTTAGCATAATCGGGAACCATCTAATTTTTTAATCCTTTTTAAATTACAGTTTGGTTTTATTTGCTTTTGGATTTCGGTTTTCCATTTAGACCAATTTGGATTTTGTGAATGGTCATTTTACATAATGAATATATATTTTTTTAAGTAGTTAATTTGGTGCAATGTTATGTTTTATTACTTTTTCCGAGTGTTTCGAAGGCATGTAGGGAAAATCCTGGTACATTTGAGATTCGACGTTTCGGTTATATATGAATATTAATACATTAAATGAAAATTCAATTAATTCTTTCGTCGAGTTTTTGATCTCAAATGAACAGGAGAACGAAACACGTTGTGAATTGGAGTTTCAGTAAAAGTAAATTAATTTTTATAATTTTACTCTCTTGTATATTTTTCCCTTGTGCATTTATATTTTTCGTGTTTGTTCTACTATGATTTGTTATTTTAATTTTGATTTTTTAGATATTGTGTTACACCTCTTATACACGGTTGAAATTATTAATATTGTTGAGGAATTGCTTGCTTTGACTCCAATTTACTTTTAACTTTAAATGCTTTATGTTTATAGATGTATATGCTTTTGGCCAGGTCGGTTGCAACTAAAATGCGAGGTGCACAACTACATGTTACAGCAGTCCTATATACAAAATTCCAGCGTTCTGATGCTATTCATTTTTGAGTAATGCGAGATACGTACGTACATATAGACGCCACGAAAAAATCTCTTCGAATCCATTTTAAATCACTTTTATAATTCGCTTTGCGGAAAAGAGTCCTTTGTTCTGTCCTTACGTACAGATGTCACGCAAAAACATCGTTAAATTGCATTCGATAGCGGTCAAAATGGATAATTTCGTTGAAGTAACGTACCCGGAATTCTTCGTGATTACAATACGTCCTTTAGTTCGTACAAGGAAGTAAAAAGTGACAGACGACTGCCATGTGAAATTTCCAGCTATCAGATTTTCAGTTAAGACATGGAACACGCAGTTAATTTGAATTTTGTTCATCTTTCTTGAAAATCTTGTAGGACCAAAAAGGCAGCCATCCAGAATCAATTGTGGTCCACGGATAAACTGAGAAATACTGTATTACTGAAAGCAATAAGAATGACTCAAAAATCTCCACTTTCTGCTTCTTTGAGCGAATTAAAAGAAGTTGAATCTCCAAAAATTTTCAGGTATGGTATTTCAACGGAATTATTCATTTTGACGATTTCCGGATCAATTCGGATGATTTTTCTGCACGACGTCTGTACTTACGTAAACAATAAAGGGCTCGTTTATATATATATATATATATATATATATATATATATGGATATGCATATATAATATATATATATATATATGCATATCCATCTGCTTACCTGGCTTACAATTCCTTACGTGGCGTTTACTTCGTAGTCGTTGGTCGTAGTCAGATGCTTCCAAATGCAGAAATGTTTTAAATGATGAAAACGTTCATGTTTCAACGTTTTATACTCATTAGGCAGAAATAAAATTATAAGAATTTTGACCTCTGTAAGCTAAAATTTCCTAAAGATATTTAATTCCTAAATGTATAATATTTAGTATAACTTTTTAACTTGCCTCGAGGAATGCGTTAATTAATCTATGGAAACTCTTGGAAATAAGTTTAAATGAAGTACACCAAAGAAATGTTTACAATTTAACAGGCCATACAAGAAACTCATGTCGTGTTCCCATCTGAGTTTTTAACTCTTACGCAAAAATTCTCATTCGCTTTATAAACTAACAAGAGATACTCAATTTATATGGGTTATTAGATAATAGATAAGGGTATCGCGCAATCTTCTCTTACTCCTTTATTTTATTTATATGATACTTAATGTTGTTCTTAGACTTGGTAATTGTATGGAGAAATATGGTGACTCATTACGGGTACGCTTATTCAATGTGTGAAATGCTTATATAATACTCATTGTTAAACATTTTACAACTGAAATTTTAAGTGCAACTCTTTGATGTATTTACTAATAATACCATTTTTACCCATAGAAAACAAAACAGAAATCACTGTCGTTCTGATTATTCAAGGAGTTGTGCTAATTTTAACAGTGGCTTTGTTAACAATTTTTATCTGTGTATACTGCAGGAAGTAAGTACTAGCTTATGAACATATTTCCATCCTTTTATAAATTACTGTCACTTTCAATGTGGTTTTAAAATGATTCAAGATAAATGTTTAGAAACTAAAAGGATTTTATTAAATGATATATAATCAAATCCCTCTATAGCAAACACGTTTATAACGTATCACCGAGTGTAGGGAACGAACTTTTAGCTTCTGTTAAATTTCCTACACCCTTAATGTTATTTTATATGGCTATAGAAAACTCCAAAGGTATAACAATCGAATGTATCCTACGTTGTGAATATTGTTACGAAATGTCCAGGCGCAGTGAATTAGCTTCCCCGAAAGAAGGTTTTAGAGTTGCCGTAAATGGCAAGGAAATCCGGGTTGCCACATTTGGCAAGAAATCGCCCATTTGGCGACATTTGGAGACAAAATTGGCGATATGCCATGTACGGAGGGAGAATTTTCTGGAACGAATTCTTACCGGTTTAGCCCAGACTGTTCTCGAACACAAGCCGAAAGCTATATAAACCTTGCTGGTCCGCAGTCAGAGTGTGTACCTCGCATAGAGTGCGAGAGAGTTAGTATCGAGTTGGTGTCTCGTCTAGCGAGTCGATCGAGTTGACAGCCGGGCAGCGAGTGCCGAGTGGGTCGTCGAGTGCATAGAAAGAGTCTCGTATTGTATCGCGGTTAGTGCATCGTCGAGAGAGCGTGCTGAGCTCCGGGGACGACTGAACCGAAGAGTCGGGAGCTGTGCTCGTGTGTCGTCGAGTGCATCGCGAATTGTAGCGTGGAGTGTCTCGAGAGTACGTGGAGTTCCGAGAACGACCAAGCAGAGTCGGGAGCTGTACTCTGGTGCTTTGCAGTGAAGCTGTCTCCACGGTGATAGCCTGATAACCTGAAGGCTGTGTCGCTGATCGTGACAGCGTGTTTATAGTAGTTCATCGACGACTGTGAAATGTGTTTTGGAGCTGTCCTGACAATACTGGCAAATAAAGTGTGTTTCGATACTTCATCAAGTGTCGTCGTTATTCACTTCAAATCTGCACGAACCCGTGAAGAAAATAACATAACAACTGGTGTCAGAAAAAGAAAAAAACGCAACAATATGTTTGACTGAAACATGTATTTTTACCCCGGAATAGGCTCTTAATCTCGTAATGGGATTTTGCATTGCCCACTATAAACGGTAAATCACTTTTCAAACTGCTGCCACCAGATATTGTGATCCTTCAAAGAAATTAAATAATGAAGAATCTGCATGTACGTATGTATGTTTCTCACATTGTGAAAAAATGACGGTACCTAGAGCCATTAAATTTTGAATAACGTTGTCTTCACCAGAACATGTGCGGCTGGATACCGAAATTTCGAACTTCAATTTTTTTATTTCATATTTTGTCAAACTGTAACACTTTTTTAATTAATAAACTTAACAAGTTGAAAGCGAGCAGTGGCAGCAATGTACGGAAAAAATATTTTTATCTCCAGCGCGCTACATTGCCTGTCGAAAATTCTAAAGATATGCTGTTTTTAAATATTTTGGGATTTTGGTGTTAAATGGAAGTTTATCTGACGTAAGTGTGAAATACATCATAACTACTAAATAAAGTTGAGATGTAAAACAATAATAATAAAAATACACAGAAAAGAAGTTTTGTAAGACATCTTAGTAATAAAACTGAACCTTGATATGATAAACTGAGAAAAGACTGAAAAAAATTGAAAATCGTATGCCAACACTTAACAATGCATCGAGAATTCTAAACATATGCTGCTTTTAAATATTTCGTAATTTTGCTGTTGAATCGTATACGGCGTAAGTGCGAAGAAAATGGTGCTTAGTAATAAAGTTAGCACGAGTGAATGCAACAGCAGACTGCTTGACTACGAGCTCAGCGAAACCGTGGTCCACGGTCTAAGAAATTGTGCAAGATTTACTGATAAAACATCTAAAATTTAAAATCGTACATATTTAGGGCTGTCTTTGGGAGGCTAGAGGAAAGCGCCTTTCTATTACTATTTTTTATCTTAACCCTCATCTTTATCTAAGTTCAAAACAAAGGCTGTACGAGACACGTGTAAATCCAATTCTTGAAGAATCGCAACTCACATTTAGCCCATCTTAGGACACCGTAATGGTTTACGTTATCATTGAACAGTTTATTTCTATTTAATTTCTTGGAATGATTTATCAGACAGAAACCCGCTTAAGGCTGTTACTATGATGCACATTGTGAAATTTTTGCTGTTCAGGGAGAGATGGTAGGTTCAGTAGGTTCTTATAAGTTGGACTGCCCATTTGATTTGCCTTCTCGAGACAGAATTTGTTTTATCATTGTCGGCTTATTTTATATGGATATAAACGATTTCCTAATTTTGTTTCCTGAATGAGATATTTCATATTCTGTAGGTGTTTTGCAAGATTTTGGATATTTTTTATATAGGACATTGAATTTTTGCTTTACAATCGTAATTGTATTAGGAATAAATGAATAATTTCTCACTAAACATCGGATAAGACAGATTAGTGAAAAAACAAAAATTTATTTCTTTTTATCTCTTACAGATGGATGACATTTCCCATTCTGTTTGACGTAATTCCCTGCACTCTGTATAGGCGAATGTGTGCTGTGCCAAAAATTATTTATATAGCTCTAAAATACAGCATTCTTCATAAAAGATAATTTAGCCATTTGTTCGAAAGTACAGGATAAATGTAATCAAAGCGATATAGAAATACGGCTTATCCCAATCTGCAGTTGGTATATCATATGAAAATCGAAACTTGGTAATTTCTAAGTATGGAGAAAGTTTGAGTAAAAGTAAAATGTTAAGTAAGGTCGATTATTAGGATAATGAAAAAGGATTGCTGAAATAATTCACCATTTTAAAAAAGCCATAATCTCCCCATATTTGGCCAAATATTTCAGATAAAGATGGAGTGGTAGAAATATTTCTTTTTGTGCAAAATATGATTAAATTTCCCAACAAATTGCATCATACAAAAAGAAAATTATAAGTTGTTTTTGTATTCAGAAATTAAATTTGTAAATTCTCGTCTTCTTTGGAACCATAAACTAAATTTGAGACGCAATCTGAAAGTAAGCCACTTATTGTTATGTCCAGTAAGCGGACAGAGAAGGGTGTAAAAAAGCCTGTTATTAAACTCAGATAATTAAACAGAAGACACTTCTTGTACTTACAAAATAAGCCAGCACTTATGGCATAACTTAATGAATTCGAAGTAAAGCTAAATTAAGTCGCAAGTATCTCAAAACTACACAGAATGTATAACGCGCAAATTGGCTCAAACCTAATTCCGGCGTGACAAGCCTACGCAAAGCCGCAGAGAGCCGTGACGAGGATAACGCAAAGCCGCAGAGAGACTGCCATTGAAGAGATTCAACTAGTAACGTGGCCTTCAGTAGGCGGAACACGCTCTCACTCTACAAACTGAAAACCTTTCTTTAAATACTACCTCATTCAAATACGCGAGAACTAAAATTTACCTTTTGGCAGGAAAGCGGAAGAAAAGAAAGAGAGTAAAGCTAATTGATATAAAATAATTGGTTAGAAAAATAAATATAATCTTACAAAGTCCTTACTTACTTAAAGATACATTTCTTAATAGTTTTCCTATTAAATTACAGTATTTTGCATTTTTGAGAACAAAATAATTATTTATTTTATAAATGCGCATTTTAGGGAGATATGTGTAAAACGAAAGTAGATCAGAATTATTATGCTAATATCATTTATGGTAATTCTGCTAACAAAATAGCATGTAGAATTATTAACGTTTAGTGAGACGAGAAAAAAATGAGTAGTGAGATTAATAAATGCGAGTAATAATAACTGTAGTTAAAACTTAATAAAATTTCTTTTAAATTAGATTAATTATACACTTTTTACAGAAGTCGCAACGTTAATTATTTTTCATTGTTTTTCTGCTGCACAATCAATTTGTACTCTTTTTTTGTGAGATAATCAATTTTACCTATCAGGTAGACAACAGCAAATCATCAGATAATACAAACAATATTTTACGTCACAAGAAGGTCTTTATAGTGATGTTTGATTGTATTTGGTAATAAAACTCGAAACTGTTTCAAAGGCCTTATAAAGAATAATATTAATAATATTATTAAAAAATTTAAAAAATCTGAAATGTTTCAGATTTTATATTACGTCCAAAGGGGTGTTTCTTTAACGTTTTGTGTATTACATTTATTTATTTAATATCATGTTCTGTGAACTTAACCATAAATTTCAGTTCAATAGCAATGTCGCAAAATAATTTTAAAATGAGCCTATCTTTAGAATTTCCGATGCATAGTTCTGCGCGCTGGAGATAAAAAAGTTTTTATTTATTTATTTATTTATTGCTGCCATTGCTCGCTTTCAGATCGTTGAGTTTGTTATTCAAAAATGCATTAAAGTTTTACAAAATATGAAATCGATAATAAAACAAATTTCAAATGTGTGCTTTCGCATGCCCATATTCGCAGTAGGATTACGTCATTCAAAATTCTATGGCTCTATGTACCGTTGTTTTATCACAATGCGAGAAATATACATACATTTATGCAGATTTTTCATTATTTGATCTCTTCAAATATAAAGCAAGACTCTAACATTTAGTGGCAAGTTTGAAAAGTGAAATGAACATTTATACTGATTCAACGCAAAATCACAAAACGAAAACAATAGTCCTTCAGGGACGAAGCCCCTTTAGACTAAAAATCGCGTAAAACTCGGAAATGAGAGCAATAATTAGAAATAAATGTGCCAAATTTAAATGTTTTTTATGTGCAACAGGAACTAATTGCTTGACATTATTATTATTATTATTATTATTATTATTATTATTATTATTATTATTATTATTATTATTATTATTATATTATTATTATTATTATTATTATTATTATTATTATTATTATTTTACTTCACGGGTAATTTTTTGCTCGTAAACTGCAGTGTGATTTTGCTTTCAAAAGAACAACCGAAAGTCATTGTTTCCAAATAATACAAATAATTGCCGTATATAACAACATTTTAAGCTGTGTCATAAATAATTATTAACAGTTGAGAATGCAAAGGTTATTTGCATATGTTTCTTTAAGCATCGCCGTCCAGCCCTATAGATTAACAGGGAAAAACTCTGTTTTGTCAGCTTCTTAAACTTCCATTACTACATAATATTTTACAAATAGAAAACCTGCAAGAAAAATCTATCAAATCTACATTAGCAAATGTTTACGTTTATTAGTGTTATTAACATAAAATATATGTAAATGTAAGAATAATACGGTGCTCTAAAAATTAAATATCAGCACAAACACCTAATAAATGTTATATAATAAAGCGTAAAATAAATATGCTTCTTAATAGGCTATCTACTGTTTAGACGTTATAAACTGTTATACAGTAGACATATCAATTTTCGTGTTTATCTACATTATGCTACCCCAAAATTTATCATCAATAAGCCCAAACATTCATCAGTATTTACCATCAGCATTAACATCATCAGTATTTACCATCAGCAAGTGAGGCTTTCGTGATTCACAGAATGAGGACTTAAATCTGTGCTGCTTGTCAAATTGCTTTTCTCAAAGGAATTACCTTCTGTACTTATTATTTTAAGATCCTTCGACATTAAACGGTACATTTCTCCGATTTAATAAGTTAGCATGCTTAATTTTACTAATTCTTTTATGTGCATATTTGGATGGTTTGATAAATCAGTTGATTTCACTCACTGTGATTATATAGATTTTATTTCACATATTCTACATAGTTGTTCAAATAACGTTCCGTAGGCACATTAGGTTTTGAATACATTTCCTGGTGGGCTCTTCAGTCTTACTATGATGCCATGACGAAGATTCGTATTTCACTTTGGCTTCTGACGCATAGCATTTCCTGTTGTAGGACCTCTTCATTGGAGCATGCATGTGAAAACTAGAAAGCAATAGTGGATGACAGCGTAGCACAGTCAAGCCGTAATATTCTTGCATAATGTTATTTTGAATGTCGCTTAAAGTGACCTTTCAGTTAGAAGGTACTTCTCCCGCTTTCCTAGCGAGCCTTCGTGGTGTAGTGGTTCTGCACGCTGAGCCGGTATTCCAGAGGTCCGTGGTTCGATTCCCGGCGAAGGCGTTGCTAATTTGTCAGTCTCTCTTGCTTCCAAAAAATCCTAAGCTCTGTAGAGTGGCGCCCGAACTAAAAGGGTGTTGGATGAGAATACTCCACATCCAGGATTTGGCGATTGGGTTCCCTAAAAACCCCAGTCGCCTTTAAAAAGGGGAGTATATAAGGTACTTCTCCCGCTTTCCTAGCGTGTTTCGTGGTGTAGGGGTTCTGCACGCTGGGCCGGTATTCCGGAGGTCCGTGGTTCGATTTTCGGGGAAGGCGTTGCTAATTTTCAATCTCTCTTGCTTCCAGAAAATCCTAATTTCTCTACAATCATACTTAATTTTATTAATTTGTTTCTATGTGTATATTTGGATGGCTTGACAAATCAGTGGATTTTACTCACTTTAACTCCAAGTAAATTTTATTTCACATATTCTACATGGTTGTTCAGATAACGTTCCCATAGGCACATTTAGTTTTGAGTGTATTACCTGCAGGACTCTTCGGACTTATGACGAAGATTCGTATTTCACTTTGGCTTCTGAAGCAAAACATTTCCCGTTGCGGGACCTATTCATTGGAGCATGCATGTGAAAAATAACCCACTTAGGTGAAGCGATTACATTTCTCTTCGAGATCTTTGTGCTGTTCAGCCCACTCTGTGCAGATTTTTCTCAGGATGCTATTAATTTGCTTTCCCCTTAGGAAACTATTGATTGCTTTCACCTTAGTAAGCAATTGATACTTGGAGTTGCAATCCTGTGAGGGATTATAACTAAGCATTGAAGCTAAGTAGAGGAGGAGAAAAGTGCATTCAAATAAGAGAGCTACTTTTAGTCGCTTGAAAACAATGACTGGGATGGCATTTAACAAATCTCTAAATCGATCACCCTCACACACTAATGTAATCATTGAAAATAACAGGTAGAAAAGGAACACAGGCATTCGGACGAACTGCCGAAGACGGAATGCACGGGCGCTTTGGGCGACTTCGCTGTGAAAAATTTAATCCATCACATAGTTGATCTGTGTGTTCAGTATATATCTAATGTAACATATTTATGGATATTTGTATTTATACTTGTATTTCATTTATTTATATTAATGTGCTTTGCATATATGTTTCACTTAAATTTGCAGGAAATGCAGGAATAAGAAGATAAAGAAAATCGATACAGTTTCGTGAAAATAATTTTAAAGGAAATCCGAGAATGAAAGAAATAAGCATGATATGTTTTATTTACAAGTTTTTTTTTAGTGTTCTACATATTAATGAACATGCGAATTATTACGCTATAAAAATGTGTTAATTACATGATTTATACACTGTTTCATTTAAAATAATAAAATTTCCCTGCAAGCTAAAAATTGTAATAAAATTCATTATCTTGTTATATAATAAATTTCATTGTCTTTCTGATATTGTCATCTCAATATTTATTTTGTTTCTATAGTATTAGAAGGAATCTGAGATTTATATATTTTTTTTTGTTTGTTTTAACTTAATCAACGTTAATATTATTTTATGGCTACAGATATTACCACATATTATGCAAATGCTATTAAATAGTATTATTTAGTCATGTAATTCTTCCTCAAACATATCATGTAACAAGTTTTTGGAAAATAAATTTTTATAAACTGTACTAAAAACCAGTTAAATGATGTATACTTTTGTAAAATGAACTTTGCCATTAACAATATATCATATTGCAACAAAATTCGGATTGTTTTTTAGATGGGCGACCATAATTAACGTAATTAATTTTACATAACAGAATTTGTGCAATCAATATCTTTAATTTTGCCAACATTTGGATAAAGATTTAAATTCTGAATACCCTCGAAATACAATCAACATCCGATTAACGGATGAAAGGGATTGTGAATTAACAGCGTCTGGCCAAAAAAAGATTAAGTTTCTTTAAGGAAGAAATACAGGAAAGTAACTATCACAATACATCAGAATCCATTAATATTTCCACAAGGAATACGAAAGACAGATGAACAAGTAAAGGAATATTCACTAAACATAGACTATGTTCACATATTTTTTTAAAAACTGTTTTTATTCATAACAGTTGAGAAGTTAATTGTACATTATAACAGTTCATAAATGAATTGTTCACACATTAATTGTACTAAAGTTGGTTAAAGTTGGCACATTAATTGTACCCATGCACCTCTTTCACCACTTCTAAACCTTATTCCTCCCTCCACCTTTCTTTCCAAAACTCGAAAACTTTATGTACGCATTTATTCCGATTTCGATAATTTTTAATTTGTTTTATAAGTTAAACTTGAAAAAGTGTAGAAAATATTTATAAGTGACAAAACTGGAACAAAGGTAGTTTTTTATACTCATAAACTAAAACTAAATTCTTAACAGGTAAATAAAATGCTGACTCGCTCTCTCCTAAACCTATGAAATTTCCTCCCTACGGGGAATTTAACCCTGGCTAAGAACTATTGGTATAGAATATATAAAATATTATTACAATAAATTAAAATAATTTGATAAATCGCAAGAATAAATTAATAAATATAGAGTTATTAACCTTCCTTTTCTCATTGTCTCCCATTAAAATACAAAAGAAATACAAAAAGAAAAACCGTTTTTTACTATTTTAAAATTTGTTTCTTTTCTTGTAAATGCTGATCTAATTTACATAACCAAATAAAATCATTCTCCAAATTAAACCGAGCCCACTAGGCCTCTAGCGGCAAACTTTAAGCCAATAGTTAATATTTCTAATGTTAGTTTGTCAGAAGAACAAGAGAGAATACTAAAATATAATTTTAACTTTTCACAAACTCTAAACCCTCACTCAATTCCAAAGATTTTGGCTCCTACCGAAAAAGCTTTCAAGTTCAGTAAAGTTTCATATTCATAGAAAGAAATGATTAGGCATCTTATCGCTTATAATGTGAAATTCAATAATAAACCTTTGAAACCAAATCTAACCGCTAGAGATAGAGCTACAAAAAGCGCGAAATTCATTCTAACCCGGATATTATCATTTCTAAGGCCGGCAAAGGTGGCCAGATAGTCGCCATGGATAAGAACACTTATATCGATAGTGCCATCAAACTCTCAAACGAAGGACCGTATAATCCGATCCCTAAACATCCTTCACCTTCGGACCTGTCAAAAATAAAAACTGCAATCAAATCTTCACAAATCCTTTCAAGTAACTTAAAACATTCGCTTATACCATCTGTTGCGAATATTGCCAGATTATATGTTCTATCCAAAATTCATAAAATTGGTATACCTTCTCGTTTTATTGTATCAAATTTAGGTACTGCCTCGGTTACAGCCGAAAGCACCGCGGCAAAAACATCGCGGACGAAAACGTCGCGGAGAAAATAACGTAAGGCGAAAACGACGTGCTACAAAACATCGTGGGAGAAAACAACGCAAAGACAAAACACCGCAGTTGTAAAACATCGTGGTACAAAACATCGTCATTGAAAATAAAGCGGTTCAAAAACTTCGCAGTTTAAAAACATCGTCGTTGAAAATATCGTGGTAAAAAAAAAAGTATCTACAAATCATAGCATGACGATAACATCGCAGACATGCTTTTTTCAGGCTTTAATAACTGTAAATGGACATTCCCAAAATGATTTCTAAGCGCAAGATGGAAAAAAGGATAGTTTTTACGTTCATATTTTTTATTAACTAATTAATTTTTGCTGAGAATATAAGAAGGAAACTTAAGCATAGAAAATTAGTGCACTTAATAGAATTTTAAACCGACATAGTTAACTAACAAAGGCCATTAATAAATCATTTTTATAAAATTTTTACTGGTAATTTTTCATGAAAAGTATAATCTATAAGTTGCATTTAATTTTCTATGGTTAAGTTTCCTTCTTAATTTTTCAGCAAACATTTATTAGTTAATAAAAAGAATGTGAAAGTAAAAATTATCCTTCTTTACATGTTGCGTTCACAAATCATTATGGAAATATCCATTTACAATTATTAAAACCTGAAAAAAGGATGTCTGCGATGTTATCGTCATGCGATGATTTGAAGATACTTTATTTTTTACCACGATATATTCGACGACGATGTTTTTAAACTGCGAAAGTTTTGAAGCGCTTTATTTTCGACGTCGATGTTTTGTACCACGATGTTTTCTCTTTGCGATGATTTCTCTCACGATATTTTGTAGCACGACGATTTCGCCTTGCGTTGTTTTCTCTGCGACATTTTCGTCTGCGATGTTTTTGCCGTGATGTTATCTGCGAACACCACTGCTTCGTATTCGTTAGCTAAATATTTAGTTTCTTGATTTTCAACTCTATTAGACAACAATATTTACACCGTAAAATATTCAATAGAGTTTGTAAAAAAGGTTTAAAACTTTACTCCTAGAAATTTACACGTTTTCTTTTGACGTATAATCATTTTTCTTCAATGTTCCAGTGGAGGGTGCATTAAGATTTCTAGAAACCAGATTTTGCTAATTTCATTTCTCTTGCATTGAAATTGATGAGCTAATTTCTGTCACTTTGTTTGAAAAAACGCATTTTGTTTTCCAAAATAAATGTTACAAGCAAACTGAGGGATTAACCATAGGAAGCCCCCTCAGTCCCATCCTGGCTGATATTTACATGCATTATTATGAATAAAAATTGTTTGATACTTTAAACTCTTCGGTATGTTTCCGCTATGTAGACGATACTTTTACCCTGTTTGAAGGTAATAAAGATGATATAAATAAAGTACTTTCAACGATGAATTCCATTGATCCTGCTATTCAGTTTACTTTTGAAATTGAGATTTGCAATTCTCTTCCGTTTCTCGACATTCTGGTCACACATAACACATCCAACTTCAGTACTACGGTTTACTGTAAACCTTCATCGGTTTGCCTTCCACCACACTTCAAATCAATGTCATCCGGCTAAACAAAAGTTACCTCCATTTTATTCCTATGTTTTCCATGCTCTTCAAGTTTGCTCCTCCAAACTAGCCCTTGATGAAGAACTAAATTATTTAAAAGCAATAGCTATTGACAGGAGCTTTTCACCCAACATTATTAATCAAGCGATTAAAAAATTATCATGTCAACCACCAAAAAGCACACTCTTATTTTAGGAGATTATAAAAATTCTCTTATCATTCCCTTCTTTCCATCAATTAGCTATAAAGTTGCACGTATTTTGCAGAAATTTAACTTTCGGATCGTTTACTCTCTCATCAATAAAATTCCGAGTTCTAAACTCAAGGACCCCATTCCGGATATGAATTCCTGGGGTATTTACAGGATTCCTTGCCAGTGTGGCTTAATTTACATAGGCCAAACTAAGAGAGCCTTAAAATCTCGCGTTAAGGAACATGAGGCATATATTAGAAAAAAAAGAAACACAGAAGTCTTCTGTTGCCCAACATTGTTGATCCGAAAATCACACTTTCAATTTTTCTGCTGCCAAAATTATTCAAAAAACATCATCCATTGGTGAACTGGATTTCTAGAGACATTTCACTTTAAAAAAATCTTTCTGCTCTATTTAACGACCCTAATTCCAATCCATTTTTGCCTTCAGCCTTTAATGATATTATGTTTTAGTTCTGGTTTCATCAACAGATGGCGCAAGTGGCTTATCTCCTGTCCAGGCTTTTTTACCTTATCTAATTATTGTATTTTATCTTGTTCATTTGCGCTTTTGCAGCTGAGGATGATGGTTCGGTAAAACCATCGAAACTAGTACTGTGAAAATTTTAAAATATAACGCTGATTTTTGTTGTTTGACTTCTAAATTAATACTTAGATAGCATCATCATCGTCAGGAAGATGTTTGAAGAATATTTAGAAAATCTTAGAAAGATGCTTCAGAAACTGAAGTAAACTAATCTGAAATGAAGTCCCTCCAAATGTAAATTATTCAGACAGCAGGTGACTTGCCTCGCACATATCTCTGCCGAAGGCTCGTGTACAGATTCAAAAATCGCGTCAGCAGTTAAAGACTAGGGACACCCCGAAAATTCGCATCAACTGAGAAGTGTCCTGTGTCTCTGCACCTACTATAGAATATTATGTCTACGACAATATCAATGCACTTGTTGAAATTTTCAGTTTATTCTCAATTTTATGTTAACTTCTTCACTTCCCTTTCTTTCTTGCATATTCCGTTTCTTTCTTTTTTTTTTTTTTTTTTTTTTTGTTAATATTTTTACTTAACACGATATATTTTAAGATAAGTGTTATTAGATTTAAATTAATTCTTTTCTTTTAAGAATTCCTGTTCTAATGTTTGAATTACACTTCTTTAAATAATTATTTAATTTTTTAATTTCTTCGTTCCAACTGTCCACTTAAAATCCAAAACCTGTATGTTGTATGTAATGTTTATGACTTTTCTTCTTGGTCTTAAAAGTCTTCTACATCTAGATATTTCTTAAGCTGCCAGGATTAGCGCAGGATTGCTAGCAATTGAAACATCTCTTGGATAAACTTCGATTGTTCGTACCAAAT